CATTTAATCAAAATATAAATATTTTCTAACAATATAAGTCTTTATCACTTTTTATCCATTGAACACATCCTTGCTGAATAAAAGCTTATAAAATCTTGCTGCTTTTGAACAGTAGTGTATATTGTAAGACAAAATGTCTATTTTGAATAAACACTGTTCTTTTTAACTCTTTATTTATCAAAGAATCCTGAAAACAGTATCACAGGTCCCAAAAAATATTAAGCAGCACAACCGTTTCCAACATTGAATATAAATATTAGAATGATTTCTGAAGGATCATGTGACACTGAAGACTGCAGTAATGATGCTGAAAATTCACCTTTGCCATACGAGGAATTTGTTTTAGTAAGAGAATCTCCACAGTGCAAAAGAATGACAGTGACAATACAGGACACAGATAATAAAAAGAATAATATACAAATATACAAAATAGACAATGTACAAAATAGCAAAAACGCAATATATAATATAGACAATTATGTATGTACAGGTATGATATTTGCTAATTTGAAATGTAAATAAGTATATGTTGAATAAATAAATGTGTAATAGTGTTGTGTGTTCCACGTTTATTGTCAAGTGTTCATGAGATGGATTGCCTGAGGGAAGAAGCTGTTCCTGTGTCTGGCTGTTCTGGTGCTCGGTAATGGCAACAGTTCAAAGAGGGAGTGGGCTTGATGTGAGGGGTCCAGAGAGATTTTGCTAACCCTTTTGCTCACTCTGGATGAGTACAGTCCTTGGAGAGAAGGGAGGGTTGTACCAGTGATTCGCTCAGCAGTCTTGGAGGGAGAGCATGGAGGGTTCCTCCTGAAGTCCACTATCATCTCCACTGTTTTGAGCATGTTCAGCTCCAGGTTGTTAAGACTGCACCAGACAGACAGATCTTTAACCTCCTGTCTGTAGGCAGACTTGTCTCTGTCCTGGATGAGGCCGATGACTGTAGTGTCATCTGCAAACTTCAGGAGCTTGACAGAGGGGTCTTTAGATGTGCAGTCATTGGTGTAGAGAGAGAAGAGCAGTGGGGAGAGGACGCAACCCTGGGGGGGGCCAGTGCTGATCGTACAGGCGCTGGATGAGAATTTTCCTAGCTTTACTAGCTGCTGCCTGTCTGTCAGGAAGCTGGTGATCCACTGACAGACGGAGGTGGGCACGGATAGCTGAGTTAGTTTGGACAGGAGGAGGTTTGGAATGATAGTGTTGAAAGCCGAGCTGAAATCCACAAACAGGATCCTCACATAAGACCCTGGTCTATCTAGATGTTGCAGGATGTTGTGCAGTCCCATGTTGACTGTATCATCCACAGACCTGTTTGCTCTGTAGGCAAACTGCGAGGTGGTTAAGTGATGTCCTTCAGATAAGCCAAAACCAGTCTTTCAAATGATTTCATGGCCACAGACGTTACAGCCACAGGTCTGTAGTCATTAAGTACAGTAATTTTGGGTTTCTTTGGGACGGGGATGATGGTGGAGTGCTTGAAGCATGAGGGGACTTCGCACAGCTCCAGTGATCTGTTGAAGATCTGTGTGAAGATGGGGGCTAGCTGGTCAGCGCAGGTTTTCAGACAGGTTGGTGTCACACCGTCTGGGCCTAGTGCCTTTCTTCTCTTGCTCTTTCTGAAGACCTGATGCACATCATCTTCACTGATCTGAAGTGCAGGAAGCGCGCTGTCCGGAATGGCATCATTCAGCCAGGTTTTCCTGAAACACAGAGCAGCAGAGTTTGAAAAATCCTTGTTTGTCCGGGAGAGCAGAAGAAGTTTGTTCCTTTTGTAGGGTAGAAAGCAGAGATTCACCAGATGGATGCTCGGCAGCACCGTTCGAAATCCGCGCTGTCTGAGCTTCACGAGTACGCCGGCTGCCTTTTTTTTAAAGTATACAATAAATACTGCTGAGAAAAATTTGCTGTGATAATACAGGAATTAGAACCTTTCAGAGTGAAAAGCATAATTTAAAAGGCTTGGCTACATGATATTCACATACGAGAGGGAATACATGTAAAGACTGACTCTGTATAAATAAATTAAGCTAAGCTCTTGCTTCTTGTTTATAGTGTCTATTACCAGATAAACATTCAGTAAAAATACTCCTGAAAAGTAGCTAAATTTTTGACTGAACATACAAGAAACTGTTTCGTTCCAATTACTGTTGCAGTAGCAATCAGCAAAGAAGCTACTTGTTAGCATGTATAAAAGCAGTTAACACTGCCTCTTTTTGACTCCAACATTTAAAAACAGTGTACAACACTGCTATTATGTACCTATAATGCAGCATTATAGCAATTGCACAGAACCGATTAGAAATCTTGAGTTTGCAGGCCAGTATTATCCTTATACTCTTTCTTAACTAGCAGTTTTCTTTGTTTCCCATAGGTGTCCTCCTGTATAGCATGTCATCCGCATCACTTGATCCTTCTGACCCAGGCGCGCAACCCGATCCGTCTGACCCAGGCGCGCAACCCGATCCGTCTGACCCAGCCGGGCAACCCGGTCCAGCTGGCCCAGCAGCACGACTCGACCCTTCCAAACAGACTATAACTGGCAAAGAAGCCAACACTGGGTCACCAAGTAAGTTTTCCTTCACATTGGTACAGTCTTTATAAAAAAAATATTAGATTACAACATAAATAGACAACTGCACAGATAGAACTGCACAACTTCAGCATAAAATTCTGTCATCATTTATTCAACCTCATGTTGTTCCAAACTCCTATGACTTTCTTTCCTCATTGAGCCACAAGTATTTCATACTTTACATCCGATAAAAGCAGCAGTAACCAGGAGGCATTCATGCTCCTAAAAACACAAGAAAGCAAACAGAGGTACCTTAGAGTCTGCATGAAAATTCATCCTATCTGTTTTATAAATGCATCTTATTGATCTTACTGTAAATGATTGAACTATACAAGCATTTCTATTTTCTTGTTTTTCTTTTTCTTTTTTTTTGACCTAAATGTACATCTTTTGACCATTTAATGACCGTGTAGTTGTAATCAGTCATTTAGTCAGTATAAACCCCCACAATTTACTGCAGTCTTGCATTCAGATCTTGAGTTCAATGCTCATCTCACATTCCAATTAACTTAATTTCAACCAACATTAAATTTCAAGTCACACAAATACTATTTACACGTTGACCTCTTTAATGCTAATTTATGTTTTTAGCTTGACAGCCTTTTATTGTATGGAAAAGAACATTGTGAACAGCCTTAAGAATATATTCTTTTGTGTTTCACAGATGAAATAAAAACAAGTTCAGAATGACATGAGGGCCAGTAAAGGAAGACAGAATCTAATATTAGTTTGAAGTACTAAAAAGCTTTAACTTTTCTTGTCTAAAAATTTTCAGCTAAATTGCTCACCACAGCATCACCAGATTCTACAACTACTATTTCTAAGAGTCTTCAGACTCTGGAAGCACAAACAACCATTGCTCCGATCACAACAGCCCTGCTTCTGGAACCGCGTACACATAACGACAATACTGGGACTGTCAACATTCAACCCATATTCAATCATGTAAAATATTTACATTCATGTCTTTTTCTTATATATTGTTGATATATACTTATATAGTTCCTGTTGATCATGTTGATTTTCTCTTCTGCAGGATCCCTTTGATCTAAGCAGCAGCAGTAAGGTGTGTACATGAATGACAAAAACATCTATCAATAAAATGTCTATTTTTTGTCCTACAAAGATATCAGTCATTGATCCCCAAAGGTCTCCTTACATCTATTTTTCACTGAGATGACAAGAAATCCTGTATCACCCTTTTTAAAAAAGTGTGTTAAAGACTTATCACAAAGGAAGCCTGTTTCCGCCAAAAAAACAAAAACAAATAAAGAAGGTAATTGTGAATATCCTCACAATTCAGACTTTTTTCCTGACAATCCTGAGTTTATATCTTGCAATTCTGACTTTTTTTTTCTCAAAGTGCAAGACAAAGTCATAATTGAGAGATCTAAACTTCCAATTCTGACAAGAATTGCAAGGTCATCTAGCAATTCTAAGAAGAAACGTAGAAATTGTGAGATGAAAAGTTACAATTACCTTTTTTATTCCGTGTAAAAAAATTATTATGAGTGAATTCAGAATTCACAGAAGAAAAAAAAACAGAACTTCAAGGTGTAAACTCAGAATTTAGAAAAAAAGTAAATTCTCAGTGTACACTTTTTATCTCACAATTCAGAACAATCTATTAAATGGAGCCAGAAAACATTTATTGGCCAACAACAGTAAGCAAAGTGACCGACTTCACAAAACTTTCTCCTTAAAAATTATCAAAACATGCAACCAAACATGAAGTGCTAGCATTTTAATATTTTGTTTCGCACAGGGGAATGTCATCCGTGAAGCCTGTAAGACGCTGGGTCAGAAGATGAAAGGAAATTGCACCGTGATGGTGGAAATTAATGACAAGCAATTAACTGCAACAATAACAATAGATGGTGAGGGAACTGTTACGGCTTCCAAACAGATGAAAGCCTCATACAGAGGAACCACTGAAATCAGTGCTTGCCATATTGTGTTTGGTTATCTTTAATAACAATAAAATACTGAATAAAATGTATAGTAATTCAATTGCTTTTCCATTTACAGCCGACCAAAAGATACCGCCAGAAAACTACAAACCTCTAGAACCTGTCAGTGGAGTTACAGACAATAATGCTTTACAGAAAGAGGATCTAAACAAGGACACGATACCAGACACGTTGATCGCCATCTTGGCTTCTTGTGGTGCTTTGGTGCTCATTCTGTGCTGCTTTGCTGCGTACTGCACTTATCATCGCAGATCCTACAGGAAGAACCAGGTAATGCTCAATTTCCAAACACAAAGATGAATCAGACTCACATTGCTTGATTCGGGTATTATTTTCAATAAATTTATCTACGAATGATGAATGTTCGGAATGACTCAAGTCAAAGTTGAAAGTTACGTTCTGAATTCCAAAGCGTTACTCGGTTTAACATCCCTATATGTACTCTCCCCTTGGCAGCAACACCTGACAGAAGAGCTGCAGACAGTGGAGAATGGTTATCATGACAATCCCACACTGGAGGTGATGGAGGTACAGCCGGAGATGCAAGAGAAAAAACTGACAATGAACGGGGAGTTCAACGACAGCTGGATCGTCCCCATAGACAACCTGCTGAAAGAGGACATACCTGCTGAAGAAGACACACACTTGTAAAGGCATCAGATGAACCGTCTGGAGAAGGAAACCTGCTGCTCTCATAACGGTAGATTGTGACCGGCCAGAATGTAGATTAAGCAGAGATTGACATAAAGACTATCAAACGACAATGTTTTCATTTGGTGCCCGGGTGTATATGCTGTAATTAAGTAGTTGAATGTCAAGTATGTGCTAGAAATAGCCGAAAAGTTTTTAGGTTTCGTGTCACTGTGCATGGGAAAGGGAAAATCTGTAAATGGAATGACAATGCATTGTGCCTTAACTTTTCTTCAGCAGGATTAGTTCATGCTTTAAAACAAATAGTTTTCTAATAAACAATTTGATGAACACAAAATATCTAGCAAATAATAGGTAATATACCCATTTATGATTTCAAACAGATTTGGTCCAATCATTTTCAGTATTGAATGAAAAAATAATTTAGGTTTTGCTCGCCATCTTGGAACGTTTTTCCCACTGCAATGCATGTTGGGACTGCATTCTCTAAATGTGAAGCTGGCCAAAATAAGGCCTCGATTTCACTGCCTTTGCATTAGGAGTGTGCCTTATGATGCTGTCAAGCAATGCTAATTATTTTATCTAAAAACAAAAATAAAAAAAAAGATATATTCAGGATTCAAGGTTCACAGATTCTGACCAGTGGATTTATGTGATATTTTCCATTGATTTGATTTTTAAAAATGATGTTATGGAAAGAACACTCACAAAATTGTTTCTACCTGATAGAACAGAGCATACATTGTATTACTACTATAGAAATTTCCATCACTTTTCCCATGACTTTTTGAGGCCTAGAAATCACATTTATCCAGTGGAAACCTTGTATTATTTTTTGAGCAGAATGTAATTGTTGTGCTTGTATATACTTCTTATTTTTATGCTTCTTTCATAATTTGTTCATTTTCTGATTAGGGAAGATTAACACTCATAGGCACCAAATTACACTTGGACCAATGGATAATTCGTCCTGGTAAATTAGACTATGGGTCAAAAGTATGTGACTCCATGATTGGCAGATAACTTTTTCATTATCTTCCATCTGCTCCACTCACGTCTCTGTGTTGGTAATCATGCCAGTATGAAGGTTTTTGGTCTTGTCAATCTGAAACATTTGACACTAAATCCAACACAAATCACTTACATTCTTTAAGTTTAGTTACCGGTAAAAAAAATCATAATGTGTCATTGATCACCTTTTTCTTTGGGGATATTTTATTTAATTGTTTTAATGTCGATTTCACCAAAACAAAAAATGTTTTTTTGTATTTTATGTAAAAATTGTATTTGCATGCACTACACACATTTTCAATATAAGGGATTCACTGCTGTCTCAGTTTAGCTGTTGTACTTCCACCAAAGTATTAAGGTTGAATTTATAGTTGTATTCTGTTTTTGAAGTCAGTTTGCTGCTGTGTGCGAACGACAGGGGTCTGATACACTGGAAGCTTCATCTCTGTCAGATTGGATGGGGATGGCCATGATTTCTAATATAAAAATAAAAATAAGAAGTTTTTAAAGTGCGTTTTCTTAGATAGTTGACATGTCGAGGCACGTAATCTTAAATGATAACAATGCATTTACTACTGTTCAAAGGTTTGGGGTCTGTAAGATTTTTGAATGGTTTTGAAAGAAGTTTCTTATGTTCACAAAAGTTCATTTATTATAAAAATACAACAAAAATAACTACAAATATTTACAATAATTACAGTGAATTACAATTTAAAACAACTTTGTATTTTAATATATTTTTTAATTGAATTTATTCCTCCAGTCTCATATGATCCTTCAGGAATCATTCGCTGCTCAAGTAATATTTCTTATTATCAGCATTGAAAATGGTTGTGCTGCTTAATTGTTCCGTGGAAACCACAACACTTTTTTTCAGGATTCTTAGACGAATATAACTTTGTTCATTTGTTCAAATAACGTTTTATAGGTCTACGTTAACGGAAGACCAAGACAATATTTAAGAAAACTTGAACAAAATACAATCTTTATTCTTTATGTACATTACATACAATGCAGTTCTTTAATAGGTTCTACACATTCATGAGAGCCACAGTGTAGTGCTGACATCTCAACGTACCCTCGCGGGCTCGACGAGATGAGGATTTCCAGGAGAGAAGAAAAGAAAAAGTCACTTCATCTGACACTGCAGAAATGTACACAGAAAGCAAGAAAACGTATTTGGCATTAAGTGCGACAAAAAGTCTCCGGTTGTAAGTGTCGATCCTCTCGTGTATATTCAATTTCATTGTTTTCATACTACTTTTTTTTTTTTCAGGAACTTTCTTCCTGGCACAAAGACAATGCTAAATCTACGAAAGGCAAAAGTAAGCCCTGGTTTCCAAATCATATACACCCAAATTGCTTTCACGCCAGGAAAGAAATAAAGAGCACTGAATCTTTGAAATCACAAATGGGCCAATCACAAACTTCCACACTCCAGTGCGCCGTGAGTGTATCTCCACAGAGCCAAATTACAGCTAACACTGAGTTCATGGAATTGAGATATGAGATACACTTGGGAGGACACAATCAGCAGGGTGAAGCGTAATGCACTGTCCTATGGTTCTTTGAGCCTTTGGTTTCTGCGTGGGTGAAGCCAAAACTACAGCAAATTTAAGAGCGATCCAATTACCGGAAAAATGTTTTTGCAGGGCAAACACTTCCTACTCATGCACAGGGAGACGAATAACAAAAACAACTGCTGTTAAACTAACACTACACAAATGGAGACCAAGTAATCCAGATAGACTATATGGAAGACTATCATCTAACACTTTCATCTGTCCAGAATTGTAAACAATCCGGAAGCTCATACGGAATGAAGGGTACATATAGACGTCTCTATGACATCATAGCGATAGACATAACATAAGACATGACATTCAGGGCTCAAGTTCACCAAGAAATAATAATAATAATAAATAGTGAGGGGTCTCTTCTGTCTTCGGTGGTCCCAATAAGTGTCCTTTGAGTTGGTACCAGTAAGCTGAACAGTCTATGTAACACAGGACTATATTGAGTTCAGACGAAAGCAGCCACAACCTGAAGTAAACAGCAATCTATACTTCAAAAAATCAAATCATCCACATCTTCGGTTTGTCTAATTGCAGCAAAGTGTTCGCTAATCCATTCGCTAATGGATACAAGTGTAATGACCTTTTATAAAGTACAAAGTGTTGCCATGAAGCATCATAATATTTGCGTTCCTACACACACAGTGGAAAACAGTTCTGTGTTCAGTTCTGTGTGCATGACACCTCAAACATGTCACTATATTCCTTTTAAGATCTGTGGATGAGAACTTAGTTATGGAATCGGGCGTTTCATCACTATTAAAGAGTCAAAGAAAGCACTAATGTCATGGCAGCATCAAATAGCAGCAGCGGGTTTAGATGGAAGCCAGTATTCAAATCCAGTATTGAGAGTGAACAGAATTGAGAGTGAGAGAACTGACTCTAGAGGGCGCTCTGATCTTTGCCTTCGGCCTCCACTGGCTCAGCGCACATTTATTTGTCCATAAAAATTTGATTTAAAATAACAAGGCAAAAAGGAAACCATGATGATCATAGTTCATAAATCAAATCCACCCCTTTATGATGTAAACTGTTCGGATTTATAACTCACCTACATTTCAACCTGTATGAAAGAAAATTTGAATGATAAACTCAAACAGACCAGAAAAACTAAGCTTAAGTTTGTTTAAAAAAAGAAAGAATAGGCAAATTAACTCGGTGCGCAATTTGGCTGATATGCAAATTTAAACCTAAACCTTTTTAAAATAAAAAAGCACAACCCTGGCACTCCAGAGTAGAAAATTATATTTCTGCATTTTAAGTAAATCTCGGTGACGTTTAAGTGGCATTACTTCTGTAGGAGGAAACACAGTAGGTGGGCACGGCACACCTCGGGTGGAAAATGTAGAAAAATAACTTCTGTTTTGGGTGGGAGGAGTCTGAGAAGTCTACAGAGGGTGTGGTCTACTGTGTGGGGCGTGGCTACAGGGTGATGAGGTCAACAAGGTTACCCTTGGGCGGGGTCATATTGTCAGGGAAGAAATTGACAAGTGTGTCGAACAGCTGTGTGCGCTGGGCATACGTCTGATCCACATCTGAAAAGCCTGTGATGAAGAGAAGAAAAAAATCATTAATAAGAATCAAAGCACATTGGAGAAGCTTCTGCATTGATTTCCACAGTTGTAGAAAAACGTGATTAGAGGACAATCATGTTCATCAAACAGTGCTCTCACCTAGAGGAATGAAGTCGGAGCTGGATTTGAACAGAGCAGAGGGTAAGAGCTGGAACTACAGGGAAAAAAAAAAAACACACAAAAGCACTTTTAATTATGTATTGGACCTAATACATTTTCAGTATCTGACATGATATTTGCTTTAGTCCAACTGAAATCAAACTATTAAAATACATGTAAATGCACAAACAGACTCAATCAACAGCAAAAGTTTAAAGGTTTGTTAATTACAAGCTTAATCATTAAATGTAACAGTTTCTTTTTGGTGGGTACTGACCTCTTTTGTCTCATTGGGGTCGGTGTGGTCCACGGTAAGGGACAGATCATTCTGTAGGTATTTAAGTGCATTCAAGGGCTCGGTCTGAGCTTTCTCCTCAAACCTGCAAACACACACAAGACAGCAAGCAGAAGGTAAACATTAGCCTTAAATTCTGCATTCTTAAATGTAAAAACAGATATCCTCAAATTTGGCTCGCGAGATCCACTTTCCTGCAGAGATTAGCTCCAACCCTGATCAAACTCACCCACCTGTGGTTTTCTAATGATCCTGAAGACACTGATTAGCATGTTCAGGTGCGTTTGATCAGGGTTGGAGATAAACTCTGCAGGATAGTGGATCTCGCAAGCCAGATTTGAGAATCCCCAGTAAAAAATTAGGGACTGTTTTTTTTATTTTTTTTTTATTTCTAGGTACACTACTATTCCATTAAGTAACCAAATATGGCCACCAGATGGCACTAAAAGTGCAGAAATCGCATGCACCAATGGAAAACTACTACTGTAATTTAATCACTAACTGCAGTGCTGCATGACACTGCAATTACATAATACAGCTGGGTCCTAAAGGTTTACATTCAGAACACTGCAGGATCAGAGCAAGATCATGTTCTTCATATTAACATTCGACACAAAGTATTTAACATGGAATAGATATCTAAACACTTTCCTAGCGACGTTTGGAAACTAAGAGCATCTGACAGTTTTCTTTGGCTTCAGACAGAGAGAGACCAGACGACCCAATTCAGTAAACATTCTTCTTAAGCACAATTTTCTAATCAAGAACTGTGCGGTCAGAATAATGAGTCACTGAGCAGCAGATTGTAACAGGTGAAGCACTTTTGTACTCACATGAAAGTATATTTGTACCTGTATTTGCGAATGAGGTATTTGCAGTGTCGAAGCAGATATTCTTTGGAAGGCCGGCACAGCTTTAGGGACCAGAAATCATCCAATCTCATTTTGGGTGAGCTGGACTTCCCTGGGTTTCCACCGAAAAGGTAATGCACCTGTGTACCATATCATCATGTCAATCCCCTGCTAATTGCTTTGATTAATCAGTAC